GCTGGGGACATTGCAGCGTTGCGGGGGGGTCAGCTGTGGGGGATGGCTGGCACGTGGTGGCCACACGTGGGCAGGATCGATCCCCCCCAGGCCGCCAGCTGCAGCATCGATCGGGGTGGGACGAGAGACTGGGGGGGACGGGACACAATACTAGTGGCAGTGGGGACAGCGGGTGCTGGTGACACCCTGCTGATGCTCGCCCCATCCCCAGATCGTCTCGGCCGTGCACTACTGCCACCAGAAAAACATCGTCCACCGGGACCTCAAGGTGGGACCCAGCTGCCCCGCGGTGTCCCCTGCTGGGGGTGGCACCAGGCAGGGTGCCATGGGGTGCCCCGTGGCAGCACTGCCCCTTACCATGCCCTTCCCCGTGTCCCTGTGCCACATGGGGTGTGTGGTACAGTGCCTCTCTCAGTGTCCCCGTGCCCGATGCGGTGCCTGTCCCGGTGTCCTCGTCCTGGTGTCTCTGTGCCTGACACAGTGCCCGTCCCAGTGTCCCCATCCTGCCATCCTCGTGCCTGATGTGGTGCCTGTCCTGGCATCCGCATGCTGGACACGGTGCCCATCCCAGCGTCCCTGGCCCGGCGTCCCCGGCCCAGGTGCAGTGCCTGTCCTGCCATCCCCACGCACGACATCGTGCCCATCCCAGCCTCCCCATCCTGGTGTCCCTATGCCTGACGCGATGCCTGTCCCGGTGGCCCCGTGCTGGACACGGTGCCCATCTTGCTGTCCCCGTGCTCGTCCCGGTGCCCTCAGGCGGAGAACCTGCTGCTGGATGCTGATGCCAACATCAAGATCGCCGACTTCGGCTTCAGTAACGAGTTCACGCTGGGCTCCAAGCTGGACACCTTCTGTGGGTCCCCCCCCTACGCGGCTCCCGAGCTCTTCCAGGGCAAGAAGTACGACGGCCCCGAGGTCGACATCTGGAGCCTGGGCGTCATCCTCTACACCCTGGTCAGCGGCTCCTTGCCCTTCGATGGCCACAACCTGAAGGTGGGCAGCAAGGATGGGGTAGTGTCCCCTCCTGTCACCTGGCCCTGTCCTGTCCCCTCCCTGGCTGGGGACGGTGACTGTCCTGTCCCAGCCCTGTGCCTCCCGGGGAACAGTGCCCGTCCCAAACCCCTGACTGTAGGGCAGTGTGGCGACTGAATTAAGCGCTCAAGCTGTCTGTACAAGATTCTGTTTATTTCACTAAAGGGTCGAACTTATATATGTTTCAACAAGGATCTGGAAAGAACTAATGGCATACAGCCCATACTACTAATACAGGAGCGCATATCTGGCTGGGCTGGGATGTTTGCGAGTCCTCAAAACAGTTAAAAACATTCGTTACACATACGGGTGACTGACTTCAGCCACATCTTCCCAGGCCTACACCAGGCCATTCTCTGACCTGACCTTGCAAAACTAGTTCTTCAAAGGCTTAGCAAACATGCAGCACAACAAATCCTGACGTTTGCTCTTAAAAACAAATGCCAGGTGTTCCGAGCTGCTCCCACAGGGCACCACCTGTCCTGTCCCTGTGACTGGCAGGGGACAGTGCTTGTCCTGTGCCTGTCCCGTCCCCCTGCCTGGCTGGGGACAGTGCCCACCCCAAACCCCTGCCTGTGGGACAACGCTGGTCCTGTGCCTGTCCTCATGCCCATGATGGGGACAGTGCCCATCCCATCCCCTTGCCCATGGCAGGGACAGTATCTGTCCCGTGCCAGGGCATGGGTGCCCCCACCCTGACCCATGTGTGTCCCCCCCTGCCAGGAGCTGCGGGAGCGGGTGCTGCGGGGCAAGTACCGGGTGCCCTTTTATATGTCGACCGATTGTGAGAACATCCTGCGCCGGTTCCTGGTCCTGAACCCGGCCAAGCGCTGCACCCTCGAGGTGAGGGGGAGGTCTATGGGGGGGGTGCAGGGGGCACAGGGCTGGGGCTAGCACAGGTTAGATGGGCACCATCCCACCCCGATGGGGCACATCCCCCAGCCGCTCTGCTCCCCACCCTGTGGGCTCCCCCAGGGTGGCTCCCTCTTCCTGATGCTCCTTATTAGGCTAATTAGCTCCAGGGCTAATTAGCTACAAGCTGTTAGTGCCCATGGATGGGTGGGTATGGGCAGAATGCAGCCACCCAAGCCCTGGCTCAAGCTGCTGGCTGGGGCCAGGCATGCTGGGGTGGCATCAGGGGGGGTAAGCCAGCTGGGAGGGTGCCCTGTGCCTGCCCTGTGCTCATGTCACCCCCGGTGGCACCCATGTCACTGCTGGTGGCACCCGTGGTACCCCGCTGGTGCCCCCCAGCAAATCATGAAGGACAAGTGGATCAACATTGGCTACGAGGGCGACGAGCTGAAGCCCTATAAAGAGCCTGAGGAGGACTTTGGGGACGCCAAGCGCATTGGTGAGGGCACAGTGCCCCCCCTGGCACCCTGGGATGGGGCTCTGCTGCACCCCAGGGACCAGCAGTGCCCCCTTACTGTCCCCGCTCCCCACAGAGGTGATGGTGGGTATGGGCTACACCCGAGAGGAGATTAAGGAGTCCCTGAGCAACCAGAAGTACAACGAGGTTATGGCCACCTACCTCCTGCTGGGCAGGAAGAACGAGGTGAGGAGACATGCGGTGGCACCGCTGTCCCTGCCCAGGGACACTGGGCAGGACCGGTGATGGCTTGCTGCCGGCTGCAGGTGGAGGCAGGTGAGTCGCGTACAGGCAGCAGCCTCTCCCTGGCCCGGGTGCGGGCACCCAGCGAGACAGCCAACGGCACCGGCAAGGCATCCTCGCATGGCAAGAGCCAGCGCGGTGCCACCACCTACCACCGGCAGCGGCGGCACAGTGACTTCTGTGAGTGTCCCGCATCCCCTGGCCTGTCCCTGGGGTGGGCATCGTGTTCGTGGGGTGCAGAGTAGGGTGGGCTCCCTGCCTGTGGGGCGCAGGGCAGGGTGGATGTCTGGTCCCATACCCGCCGGGTCCGGGGCAGGGTGGGCTCTCTGCCAATGGGGTCCAGGGTACGGTGGGTACCCGGTCCCGTGCCCACCGGGTCCAGGGCAGGGTGGGCTCCATGCCCACTGGGTGCATGACACCTGTGGGGCACAGGGGAGGGTGGGCACCTGGTCCCATCCCTGTGAGGTGCAGGGCAGGCTGGGCACCCTCTCCCACATCCTGTGGGGTGGCTGGTCCACCCATGTCCCGCTGAACCCCCCCCCACACACACACACAGCACAGGGGGCAGGACCCTTGCCCTGTGCCGTGCCTGGCGGGGAGCAGGCAGGGCTGGCCCGCCGCTGCCGGCACCTTCCCTGGCCCCCCCCCCCCCCGCCCACAGGCGGCCCCTCGCCGGTGCCCATGCACCCCAAGCGCAGCCCCACCAGCACGGGTGACACGGAGCTGAAGGAGGAGCGCATGCCCACCCGCAAGGCCAGCTGCAGCGTGGTGGGCAGCGGGCGTGGGATGCCCCCTTCCAGCCCCATGGTCAGCAGCGCCAACAACCCCAACAAGTCCGAGATCCCCGACCGGCACAAGGATGGCGCCATCAACACGGTGGGCATCGGGCGGTGGACGCCCCTGGGGCTGGGGGTGCAAGGTGGGGGGGCTACCCCGGTGCTGATGGCGGCAGGCGCCTGGTGCCTTGCAGAACAACCTCCCCTCGAGCGTGATGGCGCGCAGGAACACCTATGTCTGCACCGAGCGCCCGGGTGCTGACCGCCATTCACTGCTGCAGAATGGCAAGGATAACAGGTAGGGTGGTGGGCAACCCCTGGGGTCCTATCCCCCTCCCCAGCCCACCCTAACGCCTTCCCCCCTTCCCCTGCTCGCAGCTCCGTCGCCGGTCGGGTGCCCCCAGCATCACCTTCCAGCCACAGCATCGCCGCCGCCTCCTCAGAGCGGGCCCGCCTGGCGCGGGGTACCACCGTCCGCAGCACCTTCCACGGCGGGCAAGTGCGGGATCGGCGAACGGCTGGGGGTCCCAACGGGCCCCCCGCCTCCCCAACACTGGCACCTGAGGCTTTGCCGCTGCCCCAGAGCCGCTCGCGGGCCACCTCCAACCTCTTCAGCAAGCTGACCTCCAAGCTGACCCGCAGGTGAGGGGGCCGCAGGCGCTGTGCCCGCCCCGCCGGCCCTGCCCTTGCCTTCCTCACTCCCTCTTCTCTCTTCCAGGGTCACTCTTGACCCCTCTAAGCGGCAGAGCTCTAATAGGTGCGTCTCGGGCACCCCCACGCCTCCAGGAGCCAAAATCAGTAAGTGCCTGGTGTCACCGGCACCCGTCGCAGTGCCACTGGTGCTTGTCCCAGTGCCACCAGCGCTCACCCCAGCACCTGTCCCGGTGCTGCCGGTGTTTGTCCTAGAGTCCACCCTGGTGCCTGTCCCAGTGCTGCTGGCACCTACCCCACTGCCTGTCCCAGTGTCCATCCCAGTGTTCCTGGTACCTGTCCTAGTGCCCATCCTGGTGCCACCAGCACCCATCCCAGTGTCTGTCCTGGTGCCACTGGTGCCCGCCTTGCTTTGCTCCTGTCCCTTCTCTCTTTCTGCCTCTCAGCCTTTGCTGCCGCCGGGGCGGGAGTTGGGGTGGGGGGCACAGTTGTGCTCCACTGTGGGCTGGAGGCACCATGGTGTGGGGGTGATGCCCCCCCCTAAAATGGATGTGAGCTTGGTGGGGCTGGTGCCCCCCGCATTGGGCACAGCTTTGAGGGGGGGAAGCGCCCCCTCAAAACAGGCATGACCCGGGAGCGAGACCTTCCCCTCCCAAATTGGGGGTGCTGCCCCCTCCCCTAAATGGGCATCACCTTGGGGGAGATGATGTGTTCCGAGCTAGGGGTCATGTCCCCCAAGTTCGGCATTACCTTTGGGGGGTGATCTCCCCAAAATGGGGGTGGTGCCCCCCAACAATGGGCATGACCATGGGGGTATGATGTGTTCCCCAAAATTGGGGTGGTGCCCCTCCCAAGGGGCATGACCTTGGTGGGTAGTGTCCCCTAAATTGGGGATTGTACACGCCACCCCCCAAATTGGGCACAGATTTGGGGGTGGGCACAGTGACCCCAAAATAGGGACTATACCCCCACATCACCCACGGGGCTGGTGGCGATGGCCCTGAAAGTGGGGTGGTGCCACCCAAAATGGGTGCTAAGCTGGGGGGAGGGAGGGGGGGCTTAGTGCTGACCATGGTGGGCAGAGCCCCTGGCCCCCCCTGACATGTCGTCCCCCACCTCCCTAGGGTCGCAGACGAACCTGAGAGAATCGGGGGACCTGCGCTCACAAGGTGGGTACTGACAGCCCTGGGTGTCTCCCAAACCATGGGTGCTCCTCAGGGTGGGCAGCCCCTTGCC